CATACCCAGCTTACAACGGTATGAGAAGCAACCCCATACTGTAACACCACCAGCACCAAATGCAGTCGTTGGGCAAATATTGTTTTGGTCATAGGTAGTTTTATTTTCCCGCCAAACTCGTATTATGCCGTCTACTGGTCGTAACAGAAACCGACTCTCATCTGACCAATGATTTTTTTGCCAGCTTCTCATGTTCCAGCGTCGATGGTCATTAGCCCATTGAAACCTGATTATACGGTTCCTGACTGTTAGGGCAGGTCTCTTGACAACATGACGTGCTCTTAGGTTGCCTCTAAGAAGTCGACTGACCAATGTTCGAACACTAACACGACCACCCGGAAGCCAGTGGTGTCTAAGCCGTGGGTCAGGAGTAAATGGGTTGGCTTTAGCACGACGAATAAGCAGTCTGTCATCACGACGGGTGGTTAAACGGGTCTTCCGGACCTTGGTCTATCATTTACAGTTCCTGTGTCAACATGACGTTGTAAAAGTCTGACAATGACGGTGTGATTAACATTAAAATTGTAACCTATGCTCCTAGTGCTCCTACCGGCATTTGACATGCCAATTGCTTGCCAACGTTCAGCCACAGATAACTTACGCCTTACCATATTACACAATGACTTGATGAAGGTCAAATTTCACCTGTACGCGGAACAGTAGGAAGATGATTTAAAGGTATCGAAACAGTGTATTTGTAAAAGTTCAGAAGACCTTTAATAAAAAGTTCCTTGTCGGGTTTATCAGAGTTCAATCTTTTTGGTCGTAATGCATTTTCTTAGTGCATGTTAAAGGCAATTCATAACACCAAACATTAATAATTTTTTCGCAATAGTTAAAAAAATATTGCCAGTTATATTTCGGTGGTGCTTAACTCTTGGCGGACTGTATAGATCATAACGTTTCTACGTATTTATACATCCCTGGCCTTGCGGTCATAAAAAACTTTCCATCACGATTTTCGTACTCATACTCAGAAATCAACCAATCAAAATCCTGGATTTGGTGTTTCAAGCACAAATTTTGTACTCCGAGTACTGAGTAAAGTTTCATGACCGAGAGCCCAGGTCTTCAAATGTTTTGTTTTTTTTTCTGATGAAGGTAACTCCAGAAAAGCGTTTTGAATGAAAGAAATTTGTATTTTTATTTACTACAATTTCACTACGGAACCGCCTTTAATCTAGAAAATTTTGATTGGGTTGGCAAATATATTCGAGCGTAAATAGCGAAACAAAAGAAATGACAAACTTCTTTGGTCATTACATACAGTGGCTTTGGTACAGTTTATCATTTTCTAGAACGGCGATATGTACTAGGTGCCCTCTTAAGTTCAACCTTCTTACCTTCAAGATTAAAAAAACCCGGTTTGCTGTCATTTTGTCATTTAGTCCAACTGGTCATGTTATTACTGGCGAGCTTGGCATCGTAACCAATGAACAACTAAGAGAGTTGTTATCCAAGGGACCAAAATATAGAATTCCCCAGCCCATCAACTGGAAAGAGAACTTCAGGTTACTGATGGATGCAGTTGAAGACTATGCCAGAAAATGGGTAAAGCGGAAGCCAGATGCACCAGAACTGGACACTTTGTCTGAATGGATCAAAGCTATTCGATCATGCATTCAGAAACTACGATGTACTATGAGCACAAGGTTTTCTAACCCATTCAAGAACCCGGAGGTTGTGGATGCGTTATTTGCATAACAAATATGTTGTTGTTCCAGCAGATAAAGCCTCCAATAAATATTGTCTTCATATGTAAAAACCATTATTTGGAATGTCTCAATAAAGAGCTTGGAATAAACAGCAAAACTGGTAATCCTACATATTCTTTAACATTATCTACAAAAGATGAAATTTTACAAAATCACCAATTTGTCCTTCTTTCTTTTGGTATTAATATCAAAGAAAACGAAGAAAATCTACCGTCATTATACTGGATACCAAAACTTCACAAAACTCCTTATAAAGAACGATACATAGCTGGATAATCAAGATGTTCTACTCAACATCTGTCTAAAGTGCTGACTACTAGTCTTTCTACAGTAAAAGATGACCTTCAAAAATATTGTGATGAAATATATTCAACCAGTGGTGTCAATCAGATGTGGATTTTTAAAAATTCTAAAGATCTACTCCTAAATCTTAGATCACAATCTCTGCAATTTTGCAGCAACATTAAAACTTTTGATTTTTCTACCCTTTATACTACTATTCCCCATGCTCAATTGAAAAATCGACTTCACCATCTCACCAAACACAGCCTTTTCTATAAAAATGGGAATCGTAGATATAAATTTCTTGTTTTGGGTTATAGTAATTCTTATTTTGTGAAGAACCTCACTGATTCTATCAGAAAATATACTGAAGATGATATTATTGGATTGGAGGATTGATATTTCAACAGACAGTCGGTATTCCAATGGGTGCTAATTGTGCACCCCTACTGGCCGATTTATTTTTGTACTCGTATGAAGCAGAATTCATTCAGAACCTTCTAAAAGACGAAAAGAAAAAGCACCTTGCGAAATTCTTTAATTTTACTTTCAGATATATTGATGATGTCCTATCACTGAATAACCCATATATCAGTCAGTACTTACATCTCATATCATATATAATTAAGGATACTACTGATACTAGAAGGACTGCTTCATACCTTGATCTCTTCCTCAAAATTGACACAGATGGACGACTTCACACGAAAATCTATGACAAACGGGACGATTTCAACTTCCCAATTATCAATTTCCCATTTCTCATCAGTAGCATACCTTCTGTCCCATCGCATGGTGTTTATAAATCTCAGTTGATACGTTATGCTCGTGCATGTTCACACTATAAGGACTGCATATACAGGAGTGTGCTCCTTACGTAAAAACTGCTCAAACAGAGTTATGAGGAGGAAAGATTAAAAATGACACTCCGTAAATTTTACGGACACCATCACGAATTGATTAATCTATACGATGTGGTTGTGTCTAAACTAACTAACGACATTTTTACTACGCCTTAGATTGTGGTTTACCATCTACGTCGTCTGGTTGCTAAGTACCGAACGTGACCTATTCCCGAATATGACTGTTTTCCCCGAGTGTGAATTCGCATTGCTATTAGACGTGTCTCGGTATTTATGCATCCAACATTCATGTATTTAGTTACGATGTTTCGTTTGTAATTCTGGTTGGATATTATTTTATGTCTTATCGTTTTTGGTTTGAATTCTATTTTTATTTTCTACATGTATATAAAAGTTAAGATAATTAATCAGCTAGTTCATTTATAGGATTTATAGTTTAAAGCTACTATATGCACAGGATTAATTTGTTTTTACAGTTTTGATTTAGAAGAAAAACCGACATGGTTAAAAAATACAAATAATTACACCATTACTAACACAATTCTATATTAATATTCTTGTAATGGTTAGAAAATACATAAAATAACACCGTTACAAACTTAATCCCAATTTTATATTCTATTTTCAGAAATTTACCTGAGACGTCACTTTTTGTGGCGTTGATACATTCGTGTGACGCACAGTTCATAATTCTATTGTGGTGTAAATGAGAGGTGTTCGTTGTTATTCTGTGGTTTACATGTTGTAATGTACTATTATATTATTTATTTTATGTCTCTGTCCTGAGTGTTCTTGCGTTTAGTTCTAATGTATTCCTGTCACGTAATGTTGTCATTTTAGCATTTTGGCTAGCCATAAAACCAGGTTCAATCCACCATTTGATAACAACTGCCATATTCCTGAAATTATCTTAAAATGTCCTGTACCAATTCAGGAATATGGCAGTTGTTATCAAATAGTCCGTTTCTATGTATGCTTCAGTGTTTATGTTGTTCCGTTGTTTTTCTCTTATAGTTGATGTGTTTCCCTCGATTTTGGTTTGTTACCCGGATTTGTTTCAGTTAAATCGATTTATGACCTAATGTTGCCTTCATTTGATAACTCATTTAATGTTTCTTAATATTCTGATGAACTGTAAACAATCCAACGTACAGAGTTGCTATTGTCCTCTATATCAATTGGTATACATTAAAAAAAACATGTGGACTGAGTCTAGACGAGTCGGACATAAAATAACGAATCACTTTATTTGCCATATATGTTTGTAAATCATCTAGGTAAGCTGTCAAAACTAACTGCGTTAGACCGGAAACAGAAATCCAGGGAACAATACATTAATTAGGCAAATCAAAATCAACGTAGCTACAATACAGTTGAAACTTCAGATATACCAAAAAGCTTAGGAAATTAAAGGATACCAATACATGAAAGTGATATCAAAAGGTGCTCTTAAAGAATAGTTCCAACCTCAGGCTATTCTTTTTATGGTCCTTTGGTGATATAGCTCGTAACGTTTCTACGTACTTATACATCCGTGGCTTTCCCATTCTTAGGTTTGAGTGTTCCTAATAAGTTAAATCTAGATGACTTTTTCGGACGCTCTACAGTTATCGAGATTTATTTTCGTATTACTTGCCTTGCATGAACTACACTATTGCGCAGCAACCAAATCGAATTGTTTGCGACTCATTCACTTGATAGTTTCTAGCGATAACATAAGTTTAAGCTAAATATAACCATGAGTAGTCAGTCAAAGTGAATTCTGGAACACACGGTAGTGACCTAATCTATATGGTTAACATTAATATATGAAAGATATTAAGGCGTCATTATGCAGTGCAATGTGTATCCATTAGGGTATGATCGATAACTACTAGTATGTAAAATGGTATTTCATAACAGAAAGTATAAATGAAACATATAACAAAGTTAATAAAATAAATGAAAGAAATTTCCCTCCATGACAACTATTTCCTTTTTCTATCTATAACATTAGTATTTATTGTTTCTGTTATGCACAGTTAACAATTCCATGGTGTACATTTAAGTTTTTCTGTCAGAAATCGACACTATATAGAAAAACTATATAAACGCTTCAAGATATAACCATCTCACAATCTTATGTTTTCATTTTCTTTCACTACCGAATCCAGTCACTACCATTAACAATCTTCAAAACTTGTTTATACTCTGATATCAACGGCAACAAATGGCACTCATGTAGGCCTTTTCAACATCAAGTTTTTTGTCAAGTGCGCAGCCATCAATGATTCCTAGTCAAACTCTTTTTAACCCAACTTGACAACTATAATTTGTCAGTATTTAACTGATCTGCAACAATAATTAAAAAAAATAAAGAGTACTATACTAGAATAATTTAAGGCGTATAAAATAAATAATTCTTGTGTTGTGCTGTCACACAACTTCTAGGTAAGGGGACTGGTTTACCGCTCACAAACATGTTTAACCACGCAAGATTCGTATGTCCCCGTTCCTTAGCCAATAGCCTGTAAATAAGTGATTGTCGTAGATTGCAATTTGCCATATATTTTTTTCGTTTATTGTTTTTAGCTTAAATCAGGTCGTTGGTTTTCTCTTGAATTATTTCACATTTTGTCATACTGTGACCTCTCACAGCTTACTATTAGTTGTTTTGGTCCATTATTGAATGCCGTACGTGACCTGTATTTGCTTTGTCCTTATGGGTAGTTGTCTCATTGGCAATCATATAGTTTATTCTCTCGCTCTCTCTCTATATATATATATATATATATAATAAAAACTATAACACAATTTTCCATACGTTTCGGCCATTATATATATAATTCGTATCAAATTTAGCCCAACAATGTTTGTTCTTCCCTCAGCGGGATTCGAACCTTGCACCACTCGACCACCTAGCCTGTCGGGTGGTCTTGGGCGCTGGACAAGGTACAGGCGGTGTTGCCACGATGTCACAGAAGCATGGGTTCGAATCCCGCTGAGGGAAAAACAAAAATTTGCTAACGCAAATTTAAAGATCTAACATTATTGGGCTAAATTTTAGACGAATTATATATATATTATGATGTTAGCCCTGTATAACCACGTGTTATCCGATGGAGAATGTCTGTCATAAAGTTGTCACATGTTTAGAGGTATATATATATAGTCAAATGCGTTTTGTTAAAATATACTTTTTCACTTTTTTTGTCTTTTGGAAAATGTTGTTGGTGCTGTATTCAGACCCCTCAACCAAGAAATTTGTTTTGCATGCACACGTATAAAAATTGCGGTTTTTATCCAACGCAATCATAGGTTTGAACGTTGTATTCAATTTAGACTTGTTTATATTTTTTCGTTTGGGCTTGTATTTGCCTTCGGGTTTATATGATCCGTTCACCCTATTTCGACTCTTTCAAAATTCAAGAGTCTATCCTAAATTGAGGTAAATTATATGGCCTTCCAAATACCGTTTCGATTCCTACCATCACTGAAGAGACATTAATTGTCGAAATCCGGATATGGTGTACAAATTTTTGCACCTCATGTTTGCGGTATACCATCTTTTCCGCAGGTTTATTGTTTTCTGTTTGGTAATAAATTATTATAAGATCCATTTTGTTACATCTGGTTATCCGTTTATTTGGCAATCGCCAATGGCAGTCAGCAGGGTTTAAGAACATCAGTTGTTGGACCTGCTGGTCAAATGCGTTTTGTTAAAATATACTTTTTCACTTTTTTGGTCTTTTGGAAAATGTTGTTTGTGCTGTATTTAGACTCCTCTACCAAGAAATTTGTTTTGCATGCACACGTATAAAAATTGCGGTTTTTATCAAACGCAATCATAGGATTGAACGTTGTTTTCAATTTAAACTTGTTTATATAAATATATAGATTGCCTAACAATGTAATTTTAACACACTATTTAGTATGTAAATATAAGAATGTTTAAAATATTTACAAAATGATGAAAATAAACGCAATATTTCGCTAGCCTAACTAGCTTTATCAAGCGTGTATCTATCCAGGTGAAATCGGATGTAGATGATAAGAAACTTTTGCAGCTCAATGAGGAATTTTTGAATCCACCAACTCCACACTTTAGAACCTGATGGTCAACTACCAATTTTGTAAAAATCTTGAACTTCATCCAAATTATATATTATTTCCAAGCAGACTGAATGAATTCTGCTTCATACGAGTACAAAAACAAATCGGCCAGTAGGGGTGCACAATTAGTACCCATTGGAATACCGACTGTCTGTTGAAATATAAATAAATCCTCCAAACTCAACAAATATATTGTCGATCAAAAATGAGCATTTTGATAATATCTTCAGTATATTTTCTGGTAGATTCAGTGTGGTTCTTCACAAAATATGAATTATTGTAACCCAAAACAAGAAATTTGTATCTACGACTCCCATTTTTATAGAAAAGGCTCTGTTTAATGAGATGGTGAAGTCGATCTTTCAATTGAGCATGTGGAATAGTAGTGTAAAGAGTAGAAAAATCAAAAGTCTTCATGTTGCTGCAAAATTGCAAAGACTGTGATCGAAGATTAAGCAGTAGATCTTTCGAATCTTTGAGAATCCACATCTGGTTAACACCACTGGTAGAATATATCTCATCACAATATTTTTGAAGCCCATCTTTAACTGTAGAAAGAATAGTAGTCAGTACTTTAGAAAGATGTTTAGTCGAACATTTTGATGAACCAGCTATGTAGCGTTCTTTATATGGAGTTTTGTGAAGTTTAGGTATCCAGTATAATGATGGTAAATTTTCTTCCTTTTCTTTGAAGTTGATACCAAAAGAAAGAAGCACAGATTTGTGATTTTGTAAAATTTCGTCCTTGGTAAATGATGTTAAAGAAAATGTAGGATTACCAGTAGTTCTATTTATTCCAAGCTCTGTTGTGAGACATTGCAAATAATGGTTTTTACATATGAAGACAATATTATCTGCTGGAACAACGACATATTTGTCATGCAAAGAGGATAAAGCATCCACAACATCCGGATTCTTGAAAGGGTTAGTAACTCTTGTGCTCATAGTACATCGTAGTTTTTGAATGCGCTTCTGAATGCATGATAGAATAGCTTTGATCCATTCAGACAAAGTGTCCAGTTCTGGTTCGTCTGGTTCGCGCTTTACCCATTTTCTTGCATAGTCCTCAACTGCATCTATCAGTAACCTGAAGTTCTTTTTCCAGTTGATGGGCTGGGGAATTCTATATTTTGGTCCCTTGGCTAACAACTCTCTTAGTTGTTCATTGGTAACGATGCCAAGGTCGCCAGTAATAACATGACCCGCTGGACTATAATTGTATTGCGACGATGCACATGAGCAATCCGGAGGCTTAGATTTCACATCTTTGAGGTTAAAGGCCTCATATGTAAAATTTACGAAGGGATGATTTCAACTTCACCATTTGGAGATGCGGACGCACGAAATTTAAAAAGTTTTATTTTCATTTACCAGCACTGGGTCGATAGCACTGTTTGGGGACAGTGTGTTGTCAGCCCAGTAGTCAGTGCTTCGGCACTGACATGAGGTATTATATACTTTTCTAGAACTTCCCCGTTATGAAATTACTAAGAATCTTAAGGTTCAACTCCTTTTTCTTGGCTATTCTTGTTATGTCACTTTTGGAAGTATAGCGCCTAATATTTCATAGTGATTATACATAATTGGCTTTCAAATGTTTGGGTTTGAGCGTTCCTGGTGAAAATGAATCAAGTACCGCGGTTCGGACGCACGAAATTTATAAAGTGTAAAAATATCATTTCAAGGACTTTCTACATTTGGCACAATTATCCCTTCCGACAACATCGATTAACACTGGAATCGATTTGATCAAATTTTCATTGTCTATGTTGCTTTACTGATTCTAACTAAGCCCTATATCTATAACTACCTTAAACTTACCTACTTCGAGTGTACGGAATGGTGCAGTAGGCGTAAAAGGCATCGGTTCGAGATGAGGTAGTTTTCAAAAATTTTCACGAATATACTTGATAGGGCTTGATAAGGGATTCTGAGGGTGGCCAACTCAGAAAATAGCTCCGGACACAGAACCCCAAAAGGGATTAGTAGCTCAACATATTATACACTGACCTGTATTGCTGGTCGACATGTGTTTGAATTCGACTGAATGAAACTCTTTTCTTCTTTCTTGGCGTCTGTTAGTTCGAAATTCGTAAATGAACTTATGGAGGAACGACAAAGACAGCATCTTTCCTTTTCACTATTTAAAAGCCATCCACGAGCACAATTTTTATGGAATTCTGGACATAAAATGATAGAATAGTAAATTAAAATAGTCATGATATACTTTTTAAATGTATACATCAATCGAAATAAAATTTTAAATGTCAATTGAGAAAGCATATTACTTTGCAGAAAATGTACAAGGCAAATCAACCTGTATTTATGATAACTATATAATACGAATATTTTAAGGCACAACTTTGAGAATATGCCAAATCGTTTTTAAATATTAAATCGTTAACGCCAAAATTTTTAATTTACAGGAACAATCAGCCATTTTGACTGTTGTTTTAATTAACGCAAATAAGTGGCAAATATTTCATGCTGGACTAGAACAAAACATTTTATAGGTAGGTTTTGAATTATGGTCGATCTGGATGAAGGACGGAAATTTCGACTGCCTTTGGAAAACCCAAGATATCTTTTGGAAACTGACAGAAATATTGCCTTACAACAGGTCACCGACGAACGTTAAACATGCAGAGAGTGTAACATTCTCTCTTTACACAATGATACAATTAAAACGCCTAATTTTGAAAGGACATGGCTGTGTTTTTATACATTCTGCACAACCAAACGGACTTTAGTTGAGTTGTACTGCCAAATGGGAAAAATGTTTGTCATATTGCTATACCCCCAGATAACTCTTTGGGTATTTTAATAGCCAAAACAGCCTGATATATAAAATAGTTGTGACTTATATTGTATAATTACTCTTTATTCTAGAATAACAGTCCTTAATTTCTTAAAATAGTTCACATAGTGATGATACCTTGTACGCCTGTGTAAGAACAAGAAGCTCCCAAGAGCCTGAATCGCTCACCTGGTACAAAATATGCCATTTTTATATTTATTGTTTTCCTTCATTGCAATCAGTTATGTTTGCTTATTTGTTGATCTTATTTAATGGCATTTTTGTAAGTCTAGTATTGATAATCATTTTTACTGTTTACAGTTTAAAGTCTTTTGAAGTTTTTGGGATACGAAAGACGTCATCTAATGGCAATAAATCCTATAACTAGTGTACGTGACAATTTGACCATGTTGGCTGTTCTGTTTTGCTTTTTAAAGTTTCTCTCTTACTTTCATAGTTTTTGACAAAAATGCAAAAAGTGATAAAAATCATCATTCAGAAGAAATAACTTCCATAAGGAGTCGAATGACAATTTCGGTCATAACGACTGATAATAGTTTGTGCTGAAACTACAAAAATGGGGAAAATCATCTGTTAAGGGCAATAACTCCTCTCCGTGTTAATTGACTATTTCGAACATGTTGACTTATTTATAGAGATCTTATTTTGCTGAACATGTTTGCTATATATTGTTGCTCTCTATCTATCTTTGTTTGTGAAAAAAATTTCCTAAATTGGTAAAAATGGTCATTCAAAGGCAATAACACTTTTAAAATATGAGTAGGTTGGCAATTTCGGCCATGTTGACTTAATTGTAGATTTTATTGTGCTTTAGATTTTCGTTAATTATATCTATAATGGCTTCTGCAAAAGATAAAACCATTTTTCAAGAGCAATAACTGCTATAAGCGGTCATTTGACAATTTTGGCCAAGATGATGGTATATATGATGAGTTTATTTACAACCACTGGGTCGATGCCAATGCTGGTGGAGGTTTCCTCCCCGAAGGTATCATCAGCCCAGTAGTCAGCACTTCTGTGTTGATATGAATTATCATTGTTATGGTCAAAATTTAAAAATTAACTGTTTACAAAACATTGAATTTTTCGAAATACAAGGAATGTTCTACCCCATGAAAGACAACCTTAGCTGTATTTGGCAAAACCTTTCGGAATTTTGTGTCCTCAATGCTCTTCAACTTCGTACTTTATTTGGCTTTTTAAATCGTTTTGGTTCGAGCATCACTGATAAATCTTTTGTAGACGAAACGCGCTTCTTTGGTTCAAATTTTAAGCCTGGTATCTCTGATGAGTGTACTTACAGTTTCTGTAAAAAACACAAACAATGACAATAACTCGTATATGGGGTAAACAAAAGTATAAAAAAAATCAAAGGGGAAGTCCATACAAACTGACAAAATCAAACGTTATCAACCAACGGAACGAATGGAAAACAACTTTCATATTATAGACATGGCACAGGCATTTTCCGAAGAAAATGGTTGATTAAACCTGGTTTTATATCTAGCTAAACTTTCTACTTGTATGCCATTTGTTTATAGTTCCGTTTTTTTGACAACATTGGTTGAGCAACCCAAACAGGCATAATAAGTTAATGTGATAATAATTGGGACATTCAAACTCATAAGTCGAAAATAAACTGACAACTTAATGGCAAAAAAATAAAAAGACCAAAAGACAAACATCAATATACAAAACTTAACATAGAAAAACTAAAGATTGTAAACATACATCACAGACATACAACACAACTGACTAAAAAATTCAAACAAACATGTAGTTGATAGTAAATCTGACAAAGACGCCAACAAAAAGGTTTTTTTAGTTGATAGTAAATTGATACAGACGCCAATAAAAAAAATTTGTAGTTGATAGTACAATCCACATATAGTATACACTTTCTCGATAAAGAAATATAAATGCAAGGGGAAAAAATGGAAACAACACTGTAAAATCATTTTGCGTCTAAATCTCACCTCAGGACCCACTTGCATCAGGAACGCCCAAAGTAAAAACCCGATAGCTGGATGTATAAATACCGAGAGTCACGCAAGGAATTATTCTACCAAAAGGAACATAATAGCACGAATACAAATAAAGGGAAAACTGTTTGTAAATACAAATGTACAAAGATACACAACTTCAGTACCAAGAATTCTTCCATGTTGACTTGTATATCATATATTGTTGAACATTTTTACTGTCAAAAGATTATCTCGATCAGCTAGAGTTTTATTCTTTATTCTTTATTGAAAAGGCACTTTACGCCCATATGGGCCAATGGCTTACAAACATTATACATGATATACATATAATACAGTAAAACAATGAAAATAAACAATACAGACACTTTCTACAAAAGGGTAAAAATAATTATTTAAAGGCAATAACTCGTTTTTAGGGTCATTTGACGATTTCTGCCTAATATGATTTAATGTAGATCTTATGGTTGTGGTCGTTTTTATTGTTTAAAAAATCTCTATATTTGTTATAGTTTTGAAGATAATAACCAAAATTTTCCAAATTTGAAAAAAATAATATTTCAGAGACAATAACTCCAAAATTGATTGTCCGATTTTTCTCGAAATTTTGCAAGACCTAGTCCTTGACCTGCTGATCAATCTTATACTATGTCAGATTTTCTGTAACTGCTTTAGTTTTTGAGATATAAGCCCAAAACTTTGAATTTTCCACCTGTTCTATTTTTAGAAACAGTGGCCATGAGTGTGTATGGATCAAATCCCTAGATACAGTTTTTAAACTAGATACCCTAAAGAACATCCAGGTTAAGTTGGGTAACATTTTGGTCTAGTAGTTTCGAGGCGAAGATTTATTAATAGTTTACGAGAACGGACAAATGGACGCCAAGTGATGGCAACAGCTTCATGGCATTTTCGGCAAGGTGAGCTAAAAATCGTACTGGTTTGGGGAATGAACAACAGCTCGTAGTAATCACATGCAACGTTGAATAGAATTTGCGCGTTGCAACTTACGCCGCCGGATACAGTTTTTAAAAGTGCAAAAGATACCAAAGGGATATTCAAACTCATAAGTCGAATACAAACTGACAATGCCATGGCAAAAAACGAAAAACGACGAAAAGACAAACAACAGTACACAAAACACAACATAGAAAACTAAAGACTAAGCAACACGAACCCCACCAAAAACCGGGGTGATCTCGGGTGCGCCATAAGGATGAGCAGATTCTGCTCCACATGTGGTACCCGTCGTAATGCTCATGTAAGTTTAAACCTGGTGATAAGTCTAATTCGGAAGGTCACATTCGAGGAAAGGAGGAAGGGATTGTGGTTACAACAATCTGAACATATCCGTCGTCATCTGTGAAACAGCTTTTCCATAACCAACTCGTGATGGCGTCCGTAAAATTTTCGAAGGGATGATTTTAACTTTACCATTTGGAACTCGTGGTTCAATAGCTTCCTTGCAACCTTTTCTTATGGCATAGCATTTAGTTGCTTATATTGAATTCAGAGTTTACTAGAACCTAAAGAACAGCAGCAAGTAAAAAAGTTAAAATAAATATTCAAACAACAATTCAAAATTTCATACTGTCCTAAATGTCATAAAGTATATAAACTAATTATAGTTCCTAACATTTTTATCGGACCATATAAAGTTTTGACCAAATATCCCGGATTGTTCTGCAACATTATTACTTTCGGAGTAATGTTTAAATGTACGCAATACTTCTCAAATTCACTACGCTCTATTCCTTCATCTTATTAAATGAGCACATCCTATCTTTTAAGAAACAATAATTCGCTTAAACAGTAAAGTGCTCAGTTTGTCTCTGATGCGTACAAGGTATCATTATGTACGAATGATACCTGTACCGCTTTAATTACATACACACGACATGTGTATCTATAATATTTTTTTCATAATGTAAACTCTAATGTAAACTAAAGACAAAAGTTTCTTTAGCCAGATCATTACATTTGGGAGGATAAAAATCAAAACGGGACCTAAGCAGAATAGCTAATAGCGTCATAGTTCATGGTTGTAACTAAGTTTTATTTCAATTCATTACATAATTTTATTTAGTGAAGTTTCAATAAAAATGTATGGTTTAATCATTCAAATGAAGTACCAAAAGCGCATTTTTTTTAGGTGGATGGTATCATCGGCAACTATCAATCCACTTGCAATAGAGTAGCAAAAGTAATATTTGTATTTAGAAATTATAAAATTACTCTTGCTTCATATCAAAGACACGATATATCTAAAAGTGTAGCTCCGCCGCTGCTGTTTGCAGAACATCCACTACCAAATATTTGATGCATTTTTAAGAAAATACAAAATTAAAGAAAGACAAATTCAATATCCACTACACAGTTTATTCCATGTGTATTCACTAATTCTTCCACTCAATGCATTTTTTCATATGCTTTCATTTTACAGTTAGGTATTATTAGTCGATTCTGGAACCCATACATTATGTCAACTTTCCATAATGCAACAGTTCCATAGGAAATGGTTTTATTTTGACGTTAGAATAGCTGTATCAAACTTTAAGCGCAGCTTCATTTTGTTGATTTTATAAATTAAAAATCTGTGTTAGTTTATTTCAAAGGCGGCCAAATTTGTCTCTGTGACAGCCTTAACCATATTTATTCACATTTTTTACCAAATTTATTGTTGTTGCTAATTTTATTTTTAAATAGTCCGATATTTTACATGATTGAGAGCTGCTTGTTAACATCTAAAGGGAATTATTTCGTGAATAATCAGGACGAGAACAAATTAATATTCATACAGAAGGTAGATTCAGCTTCTGCAATGTGAGCCGCCCGAACTGAAGGGCGAGAAATTTTGACTGCCACTGACAAATAAGGGTATGTTGGATAGAAGCGGTAAGTTTGCCTTGTAACTGGTTACATACAGACACCTCAGAGAGTTATTTCAGTCTTCTTTTAACGTGAAGAGAGTTTGGCACACACAATTTTATGCGGCGTCAGATTGTCACACTGGAAGTCCGAGGATGACCATATGTCTATACATCTGTCAACTCTTTGGGTTTTTTTACAATGTAGATATTGTTAAAATATCAGCCGCAAATCAACAATATAAAGCTATTTTGGTAAGTGAAATTTGATTGATTTTGTGTCGAGAAGATGATATCAATAAATTTTAGGCTTTCTGGGTATGATATCTGCGGTTAGTCCTACGTTAAGATTTTTTAAGAGTGAGTGCAGCGAACATATTTATTTAAAATTATGTTGAGCGACTGATACTTTACAATATCTATGAATTAAAAGTTGTTAATTTGTTTATAGCGTTGATTTCAGCTTTTTCTTGACCCGTAACATAGTTCTTTTAAATATTTTTGAACCTTCGCTATTGCTTCGGGTCTAAATTTAATATCGTCCAATCAATACAGTATGGCGTCGTATACTCTATCGTTAATTCAACTTCTCAACTTGACGAACCGTGATCATGGATTATCTGAAGAACTGATATACACATAGAGAAATACGATAATTTAAAATATTTCAGTTTTTGAAAACTGGACTCATTGGACTTAAAATCGGACATTTGCATTTTCTTTGTGTTAAACTCAATGTGCTATCCATTGTGCACAGTTTCACTTTAAATGCAGAATCTGATAACGGTGAAGTCACGTCTAATGGCCTTCCCATCCTTGAATTATTAAATAGGAGTTGAATTTTAAAAAATACCTACATCGACTGACGGGAAATTTTAACCCGTTCCAATTTTGTCTCTTTTAATTTACACGAAAATGTCATTTTTTGTCTTGTAAAACCTGATAGAACTATAAAAAAAAGATGATACGAGATTATACTTTTCATCTTTCTTGATTCCAAAGATGGGCGTGCCACTGACTTGGCAGTATTTTCTCTTTCATAAAACTTGATATTGCATTTTTTTTTCAATCAACCACTTAAATCCGCCCAACAATTCTGCGGGCCTCCTAACCTGGTCCGAAATGTACTAAGGTTATGTTCAATGATAATCAGCGTCTAACCAGTATGAAAAAGAGGGAGATGCATGCATGTACATTTCAAGTTCGTCTATAAAAACTATACACTATACATACCGTGATTACAAAATAAAGTTACTACAGGCTCACTTCTACTATACACTATACATACCGTGATTACAAAATAAAGTTAATACAGGCTCACTTCTACTGTACACTATACATACCGTGATTACAAAATAAAGTTAATACAGGCTCACTTCTACTATACACTATACATACCGTGATTACAAAATAAAGTTAATACAGGCTCACTTCTACTATACACTATACATACCGTGATTACAAAATAAAGTTACTACCGGCTCACTTCTACTGTCCTTCTGCTTTAAACATATTGCGCAGTCCGATCCTTAACAAATAAAAAGAAATCGAACTATATAATTTGTATTACATGTATATATATATTTAAACAATTAGAAAAAAAAAACATAAATTTAAACAAAATAAATCAAAAGAGCAGAACAGTCCAAAAAAACTATACTTTTTTATTCCTGATTATACAAATAGAAACTTAAAATCGTGTGCTTCTTGTCTGTGTCTAAAGTTTCAAATGTTGTTTATACTATGAAATGAACCTTAATGTCTAAATTTTTATTTGCGTTTTCATGTTAAAATACTTTAAAGCCTTATTTTATCAAAGTCTGGTTTAGTTGATTTTATTGTATGTAATATCAGTTGCTGCTATAGTACTGTCTCAGATTTAGGGAATGCTGGATATTCACTTTCTAATTTCACTCAGCTAAATGTTCTTGTGATCGTCTCTAGTTAAGAACCTGTTATCAGATGATCGTTTTTCTGTATCTATTTCTTTCTCATTTTTATTGTAGTTTACTTTAGTTAAACCTACTGTCGTTTCTCGTTTGATGTGCTGATCATCTGTTTGTAAACACTTTTTTAGACTTGCCATTCTTTATGGATCTGTATGCCCACTATTGTAGACCATGCGATGACCTTTAGATGTTCAACCTTCATATAGTGCTTTTATATAATTTTGATAGGTGACCATCTTTTTTTATACAATTTTGTTCTACAGAACTTATTTCCAGCCATTTCGTGTTCATGATAAGTCATTGACTAGAGATATGAATATTTACCACCAAGAATCACAACAGGTTTATATTTATTGCTATCCCAATCATCTGTCTGTTTTCTGTGGAAATCCTGCAATAAATTAATACATTAACGATTGTACCACCACCTGATAAATATATTTCAAATACATTTCTGATATACCTTGATCACTTTGTCTTTATTTTTCTACTTATTTCCCTGTCTTTACGCGCCAGTTTTTGAAAGATTTTTTGATTGATTTAAAGTTATCTTAGTTGAAACATATTTTATTTGAAAAGGAAGCAAAAGGGATTGGACACAAGTTATAACAACATTAGTGACGTTCTCTCCCTGAAAAATTTAAAGTTATCCGTTTTCAGTGTTTTAGTGTACCTTTTTCGGTAAACATTATCATATTCCGTACGTTTCTTTCTGTACAATGTGCACAATTTAATGAGAAATTAAACAAATTCGAGGTATGGTCAACTCTTGTCATCATTTTGGCGCGCAATATAACTTATTTCTCCATTTATCTAGAACGGTGGTGGAAAATATAACATCTCAGAATAGAAAATAGTTAATTTATAATGTGTTTTTATATTCTTCAATTTCATACAAATAACAAATAAATAATGAGAAATCCTACATTTTTTTTCTGTCTGTAGCTGGATCGTTACCGTACCGAATATTAGATACTATCGAGACCAAACTTTTAAGCCGTGGCACTTTAGGCACAGTGCACACGTATTCATAAAGTAAACATTTAAACGGGATTGCACATCCTAATTTTTTACGGAGTGGTGCTTACCGAGTCCGGAAATTTAGAAACGATTGAACTTATCGATCCTTTAAATAAACTTATTTTAAAAGGTTACCAATTCAACACTGTAATTAGATCTTTGAATATTGTTTTTATTTGTATTAATGTTGATTTTGTTATCAGTAAATTAAAATCAAACTAAATATTATTTTTGTATACATATGCACATTCATGGCTCTACAATCTGTCGATACCTGTATCTTGGCATTGCACAAGGTCATGTTTTTCTCGGACTGTTAATGACGTCTTTACACTAAATCCATTGGATGTTGGATGTGTACTGATTGATATTTTAGTCTTAGGTGCATGTTTTTTTTTATTAGTTGTTATTGGCTCTGAACTAACTGTCAGTAACTGCGAGTACTCTCAGATCTGTACTTAGTGTCTTTTTGTTGTGGGATGTATAAGTAACCTGCCACGTCCACTCTGTGTTTTTGTTAGATGTATTTCTATTTGTATCCATCTGATGAGTTAAGCCTTTTTCAACTGATTTTTATAGTTTGTTCTTATGTTGTACTGTTTCACCACTGTCCCAGGTTAGGGGGAGGGTTGGCGCCTTCAAACTAGTTCAACCCCGCCACATTCTGTATGTGCCTGTCCCAAGTCAGGAGCCTGTAATTCAGTGGTTGTCGTTTGTTGCTGTGTAACATATTTGTTTTTCGTTCATTATTTTGTACATAAATTAGGCCGTTAGTTTTCTCGTTTGAATTGTTTTACATTTGTCATTTGGGGCCTTTTATAGCTGACTATGCAGTATGGGCTTTGCTCATTCTTGAAGGCCGTACGGTGAACTATAGGTATTAATTTCTGTGTCATTTGGTCTCTTGTGGAGAGTTGCCTCATTGCCAATCATACCACATCGTCTTATTTTTATATCTATCGATTAGACTTTAGGGAAATTTGGAATTTAGCCCCTAAATGACAAAAAAAAACTAATTTACATTTATATTGTCATGAGCATTGGTCTGTTTATGTTCTCACCTGATATTGCAAATAGAAATATACGACCGATAATCCGAAAAAAACGCAGCCAGTGCCAAGTCCAATGGAAACTTTAACTATATACTCTATTGTAAATTTCTCATTTTTAGTTCTGAAATATAGGACATGATTGTTAGAGGAATAAGCTTTCAGTAATAATTCCATGGTTGTTGTTTCTTTGAATAGGTTCACATAACAGTGATCCGTATATGTCACATTGCTACACAACATTTTCAAGAACATCGAATCTGAAGAAATTAAAAATTGTATGGGTGAATGGGATTTTTAATACATTTCAGACCAATAATGGTGTTATTACTGTTGAAGTATATCCTCACATGAGTGTACTATATAAAATTATTCACAATAAAATATGACAAAGTTTGTAAAATTTAGACATTAGATAATTTTGTATTGTTAATGTTACTTATTTCTACACTTTTCTATAACTATTGATTATTACTGACTATTTCTAAGTAGCTTTAGATTAGTTGGGTATAGTGTGTGCAATCTTGGCCAGACATGACTTGACTCTTGCATGGACTTTGTTAAAGGACGTAACTGATCTGAAGACTGCAGATCAAAATTTGGATTTCTCAGTTCAAAACATTACTGGTTATGAACAGTTCTTTTAAATACTAATGGGACAATCAAAATCCATAATTCAAAGAAAAGTAGACAGCACCATTGTAAAAAGTAAAAACAGACGAATAGACAAAAAAGACAGTTCACAAACAATATACAAACATTTATTTTAGCAGCAGGAATCCCACTTAAGGTTCATCATAACAAATGGACAAAAATGGCTGTATTTACACCTCAAAAACTACTCTGTGTACAGACTTACCTGTCCAGTTTGGAAAGTTTTAAGGCCTGGCATCCACTAGATATATAAAAGTTAAATGCATTTGGTGTTTCAGAAAGATGAAATCTTTTTTGGATTTTGATGGCCATTTTTTTTCCTTTCTGCAGAAGGTGTAAAAATGAACTAAGTTGGGATAAAACTTTGAGATGCTCCCTCTCAGGTAAAAACTGTATTGTATTGTATTGATTGTCCTTGATTGACACGGACAATAGACAGACAATAGGTATCTACACAATTATAGGTGAGTTAAAGGGTTTAACTGAGTGGACAGTATCAAAGCAATTCAGGTGTTTGTTTATTTTTACACCTTCTGCAGAAAGGAAAAAAAATGCCCATCAAAATCCTAAAGTGATTATATCTTTCTGAAACAAAAAATGCATTTAACTTTTATATATCTAGTGGATGCCAGGCCTTAAAACTTTCCAAACTGGACAGGTAAGTCTGTACACAGAGTAGTTTTTAAGGTGTAAATACAGCCATTTTTGTCCATTTGTTATGATGAACCTTAAAACAGGGATTGAGATAGTGTGCTCTGGAAGAGTAAACAGGTCCTACCAATAAGTGTTTTTTCTTCTAAAAGAAGAATTGCAACAAACACATCAGATCTAACATCACGAGATTGACCATAAAAATGTACAAGTAATAGCTTTTCAAAAAAAGGCTAGCCGTCTCTTAGCTGATGAAAATGGAAAGTGTCCTCGCTTTGTAGATTAATTCATTCAGAATAGTCTTGCATATCAATCAACAAATTTTACCACTCACGTGAGGTCACACGTTATGAAGTAGTATATCGTTTAACGTTGTGTGTGTTTACAAAACTCCAGAAGATTCGGCTATTTATAGATAAAAGTTACCTGTGTACCAAATCAAATATTTATTATTCCAATCATGGTCCCACAGAGGGCATTTACAATTAACAATTATGATAGTAGAAGCAACAAACATCAGACATTGTACAGTATATAACGTGACAGATATTATAATAGACAATGAAAATAGTATTAATAACAAAAATACATTAAAAGTACTCTTGAGTACTTTTTTTTTTCCTTCCTTCCTTATGTCCAGCAGTGTAAAAATAAAAAAAAAGTATTAATAATAAAGTTTGATCAACCTTTATAACTTATTATCTATAAAGATGGAAATTTGTTCATCTGCAGGAGACACCAAGGGACGGTGCTCTAGGATATACTGTTGATTGCGATAGGCAATAACAGCAATCCTCCCCGTGTCAGAAGCAGATGAACAAAATAAATAGAGAAACTGAATCCGGTCAATTAACAAATAATTATTATTATTTTTTTTTTTTTTTAAATAACAACAATTATTAATTATGCGAAACATGTCATATAAATCTGCTATGTGCAGTGTTTAACCAGGAATATACACAACTCTTTTAATACAGTTAAGTTCTCACAAGACAACAGCCATAGCAATTTCTCTTGGGAATTTAAGTTAATGAAATTGTGACATGATTCCGAAATAATCAATGTACCAATCTCATGAATATGCATGATTAATGACCAGGCAAAATCTTATTGCTAAAATAGAGAGGACAAATCCGATACTCTACGGGATTGAAAGACATTTACTAGGTTTGGATTGTCCTAACCAATCAACAAACTTTGATTATTCACGTCTCGTAATATCTTCCAATCAGGTAGTAAGAGGCATTCACGCACTGACTGTCCATCGTTCAATTCTTACTGTTGTTGATAGCAAAGATTGACAGCAAATATTTGCAATTAGAAAATATTTATTCAGTCGAAATGTTTAGTTTCATAAAAGAAACTATAATAATATACACCACATTTATAATGTATTGCAGTCTAAGCAATCTGGTAATGTGGAGATAGATTTTTTATGGCCCCACAACAAAGTTGTCGGGCCCATATAATTTTACCCTTGTCCGTCATTCCGTCATTCAGCAACGAACAGATATACTGGCTTTTTTTTTCTAAACGCCTTCACATATTGAGCTGATTTTTAGTATGTGAGTCTACTATGATAAGTTACAGATTAGGTTTACGTCTGGTTCCGCTTCACTGATTTGTTCCCGAAATTACGGGCTTTGGACTGAAAATTTCGTGAAAATAACAGTAATACGGACTTTCATTCTCAAATTTCTACTCCTAAAAAAATGGCTTCAAGCTTTTTATGCAGGCGGGGACATTCGTGTCGTTCCGACACATCTAGTGTTTAATTGTATGCAAAATGGTCCGATATTAATGGTACAAATAGAATGTTTCCCCTTTATTGAACTTTATTTTGCTTTGCAAATTGATATGGAATCAAATAATGTAAACATGAAAATGAATAAATTTAGACAACAGATTACAGATGGTCAACAGAGAATTGGTTTAAAGATTTAAATCTTATACTAAATAAACATGTTCCGTTATATCAGAAATAATAGATGTACGTATATTAACAAGATCAACCATTTCCAATAATGGCTAACATAACATGAAACAACACTCAGGCTGTCCTGTCTGTCAAATCTCAAGTTGGATGGAGAAATAAAAATTATATGTTGGTCCCTAAATTAGAATAATTTGTTAATTATGCATTTTCACTTGATAAACATTCATTCTTAAAATGTGTCCGGATTTTATATATAGTGTAATAAAATAAATTCAATCTTACCTTATCTTCGAAATCATACATGTACACATAATTAAAACAATCAAAGATATTATTAGCCCTAGTGCAACTAGTATATCCCAACATGCTTTGTACTTAGCCATAGGTAATAATTTGGATCTAAACGCTTGTCTTTCCTCCTTTCAATCGCGATGACACACATAGATAACAAAATTTAAATTCTTATCAAAAATACACAGCATACTTTCTACCTATCTTCTATATGATAAAAATGTTGTGAAAAAAAGTTACTAACCTAAAGCCTCTATCAGGAAATATCTCATTTCAACGGAAGCGATATCAAGAGTAGAAGGCTTAAAGCATTAAATTGTAGAAGAAAGTATATAACAAAAGACGACCTATAACATTTTTAAGTTGCAAATATTTTTTATAATTTTAAAACTTTAACATAAATAAACTCAACTCAAATTCTTTTTAGTTTTAATACTCTCGACTCATCTGTTCAAATCTTCTACTTTCCTTTACTAAGTCTCCTAACATCATTTATACCCATGGGGATAATTTTCTGCAGGAAAGTGTCCAAATGGGTCTACCTTTGAAGGCTCTATGGGGAGCAAATTTATACGGGATATTCATATCTCAAAGTCAAAAAAGTATAAGTAGATCCTTATTTTAACACTAAATCCGTTCGATGTGTACTAATTGGCGAGCTGTAATTCATTGGTTGTTTTTTTCAAGTACGTCATATTGTTTTTCGTTAACTGTTTAATTAAATCAGGCCTTTGATTTACTCGTTTGAATATGTTTTACATTGTGTCATGTTGTGGGCTTTTCATAGCTGACTATAAGGTATGGGTTTTGTTCATTGTCGAAGGCCGTATGGTGACCTATAGTTGCTTACATCCGCGTCATTTAGACTGGTAGATAGTTGTCTCATAGGCATTCATACCACATTATATTTATAGTGTATGATTTCTAAAAAAAAGTCGTCCTGAACATACATGAAATATTTGCCACCGGACGTTAAGCAACCAACAATCAATCAATCTAAAAAAAAAGTAATGAATTCAACTTACGCATAATATTGGTTAGATATATAACGACTTCATAATATTAGTTCCAGGTTCAAAAGATTTTCTTCTCCTTGTTTATATAACATATTTCTCTGGTTAAGAAATAAAGCAGGTATTCAAATTCCTTAATATCTATATATTATTTTCACATTTTAGAGACAGCAGGCGTACTTCGCCTGGAAATCTTTTCTAACCCGAACTGACATATAACATAAGTTAACTTTTTCTTGTCTGTATCTTTATAAATAAAGAACATGAATTCGTTAATTTTTTCTGAATGTTGCCACATCACTATAATTATTTCGTCTCCAACAAAACTTTCCCCTAGAAAATCAACGCTTAAAAATGTTACTGGGTACCAGCACATATCACCACTGAAATGCACCAGTTTCTTGTCTATGCTTGCTGTTGTTACACAGTCCATACAAGATTTGACGTAAAGAGAATAGTTTGCATGATGATTTGAGTCAAGATCACTGTATCGTACAATCGTCCTGTATTCGAAAACTTCCGTTGGTTGTTCTGGCAATGGCATTTTCGACAGTTCAGACGGTATCCCTTGTATATGGGAGTTCTTATTC